TGCCTGTCTCTCTTGCCATCCCCACAACATACAGGCAGGAACACACAAAATACAGTGCTGGACTCCTTTGCAGCTAGGAGTAGAGGTGGGACCTGATTCTCCAGAGAGAAGTGATGGAAGTTGGCTGTGATGTCCAAGAGAGATATCTCTCCTGCTAGAAAAAGGAAAGATGTCTGTGAATCCCCTTCCCTGTCATTGGGTAAATTCATCTGAGGCTGCTATGCATGGAGGAAAGGCCAAGAAAGTTACTTTGGCATCTAAAGAGACATGAAAATCCTGGATGAAGAATTCCCAGGAAGTGGTCTGAGATTAGGAACTTCTAGTCATCAAAATGCCCCCATGAGTGAAGACAATTTCAGACTTGGAGAAGATCTCTATCAATACACACAACCCACAGAGGAGTCAGAATAGAATACACTAAACTCCTACAAATACATCATGATAGAACAGACTTCACACAAGATCCTATCAATTTGGCTAATGAGCCTATGAAAAAGTGTTCAACACTCTTTATTATCAGAGAAATGCAGATTAAAACCACCATGAGCTCTATTATACACACACCAGAATGGTTAGGTTGAAAAAGCTGAAAATACCAAGTGTTGGCAGGTGGAACTTCATATGGTGTTGGTTGGAACGTAAATGGGTACAATCACTTTGAAAAACAATTTGTCAGCAACTACTAAAGATGAGCACATGTATCTTTCTGACTCAGTAACTGTGCTTTTAGATGCACACCTGGTAGATATAAAAATATGTCCACACAAAACCTGAACATGAATGTTCATAGCAGCATTTTTCATAATAGCAAAGGCTAGAAATCCAAATATGCATCAATAATAAAAGAGAAAAACAAATCTCGATATATTCATACCATAAGTATTATATGACAAAACATGAAAAATCTAAAGAGACACGAAAGTTTTCCTGGATAAATCTTACAAATAAAATATTACACAAAAGAAGTCAGGTTTCAAATAATACCCATTCTAGAATTCCATTTATGTAAGAGTTTTGAAAGAGCACACTAATCTATGGTGTTAGAAGTCAAGGGAGGCTGGGGTGTGGCTCAGGGGTAAAGTATGTGCCTAGCATGACATGCTGGGTGCTACCCCCAGCACTGCAATAGAAAAAGGAGGAGGAAGGAGATGAGTCACTTGGGAGGAGGAATGAGAAAGGCTTCCGGGATGCTGACTTGAGTGGGTTCACTTCGTGAAAAGTCACTGAGCTGTGTATCATCCTTTGCTTCACTGTACATGTATAATAATTCAGCCCTAAATTTATTAATAAATAAACTATGCTTAAACATGAAGCAGGGGAAGTTTGGCATCCAAAGGAAGAATTCCCCATGCAAAATATTCGAACTTTCTCCCGTAAGACGTGAGGAGCTGTTGAAGATTCTGTATCAGAAGAGTAGGGAGATCCAGCCTGTACTACACATGGAAGGCATTGGAGTGGTGACAAAGGACAGCTAGGAGCCTGCTGCAGCTACAAGGTAGGAAAGAGAAATACCCATGCTCTAACACCGAGCTACACCCCCATTCCTGTGATGCACCTTAAAGACCCTTGGATGTGAAAATGAAATCATGCAAAGAGCTGAGAATAGAACTATGTTTTCTAGTGTGAGAACTGTCGGAATCAAAACAGTCGCTTATGCCAAGGCTTAAGATAAATAAATCGGAGAGTTGACGAAGGAGGTCTCTTGCATGCATGCATGCCTGGTGCCAAGAACCATCACCCAAGACCCTAGCAGAACCACAACCTCACACAAAAGCCACCGCAGCCTGACACAGGAAACACCTACTTGTCCAACAACTGCCTATCCAGCCTTGGACTGACACCATCCTTGTTATTGCCTTTGTAGCCAAGGATAATCCACTCAAAACAACCTACTTGGAGATATGGGGTAGCTCTGTGGTAGGACACATACTTAGCATAGGCAAGGCCTTGGATTCAAACCCCACCACCAAAATAAGCAAGTGAATAAATTGATAGATAGATAACTATTTATGTGGGTTTGTCTGTGTGTCTTCTATTCTGTACCATTGGTCTACATGTCTATTTTGGTGCCAATACCATATACTGGAGAAAAGATAGCTATAAAAGGCTGAGAAATTTTGAAATTCAAATGGTACTATAAAATAGTTTTTAGGGTTTATATTGGACACATGCTTTAGAACTCAGTTGTCGTGATGTCTGCAACTTATTTAGAAAAACTAAAGTTAACAATGGGTAAATATAAGAGGCAAATAAATGTGTCTCATGTTCTTTCAACTGTAGTCTTAAGATTTTTTTAAGAGAAAGGAAGAAGAATTAAAAATACAACTTAGCTTTTTAAAATAAATTTAATTTAAAAGTCATAAAGGCCACATTGTCTAGAAATATTTCACGTAGCAAAATCTGTGTCTTAGTTCTGTGTTCTAAGTCAATGAAGGGAGGTGAACAGAAATGGGATCTGCTAGAGATGCTATCTGGGTGTTTGTTCCATTCAAAACTCACTTTATGCCTTGGGCTGGGCATGGTGTCATACCATGGTGACTTGGGAGGCAGAGGCAGGAGGATTGTAAGTTTGAGGCCAGCCTGGACAATTCAAAATAAAAAAATATAAAGAACTGGGGGATATAGGTCAGTGGTAGAGCACCCCTGAGTTCAATCCCCAGTACTGGGGGAAAAAAAACAACTCAGGTTGAGACTTAGCCCTCAAGGAGTTATATGTTAACTGTATTTGGAAGTGAGGCCTTTGAGAGGTAATTAAGATTAGATGAATTCCACCTATGTATGATATATCAAAGTATTATAAGTGCATTCTACTGTCATGTATAACTAATTAAAACAAATAAAATTTAAAATAACATAAAATTCTTAAACCCCCCCCCCAAAAAAAAAAAGATTAGATGTGGTTGGCAACCCACTATCAGGTGCCCTCCTGCCCTGCAAGAGTTCTGTTTTCTATTCTTCATGCTTGAATAAACCATACTTCTTTTACACTTTTAAAAGATTAGATTGAGATCAAGAAGGAGAAGTCTCTACTTTGACATTGGTGTATATCAGAATCAGAAAAGCAGGAGAGACCCACCCAGAATACTCGATCTACCTTACCATGTGATGCCCTGTGCTTGGGATTCTGCAGAGAGTTCCCACCAGCAAGAAGGCCCTCACCAGATGTGGCTGGCCCCTTGACCTTGGATCCACAGGAGAGGAAACAACCGAAAAGGAGCCTGGCAAAGTTAGAATCCAAAGGGCATATGAGATTAAGTGTAACCCTGGTGTCTGACAAACCTGGACAACATCTTGGCTGTCATTGAACTCAGGGTATTTAACCACTGCACCACATCCCTAACTGTTTTTTATTTTGAGACAGGGTCTTGCTAAGTTGCTTAGAGCCTCACTAAGTTGATGAGACTGGCCTTGAACTTGCAATCTTTCTGCCTCAGTCTCCCAAACGGCTGGGCTTGCAGGTGTGCACCACCATGCCAGGCTCAGCTCTGTCACTTTTTATGTGTTCTTGTCTTTCTAAGTCTTGGTTTGCTTGTGTTTTAGTGACCAAGCAGTTTAGATGGTGCACTGAATAAATGGTAGCAATTTTTACTAATATTTTAATGGATATATTAGAAACATTCTTCATGAAGCTATATTATTTTTAAAGGCTTTACTGAACTAAGTTAAATAAGAATCTTCACTTTTTAAATAAGTAGCAAAAATGTTTTACCTGGGAGGGGAGGGACACAGATAAGTAGATAACCTGTCTCAAAATTTTCCTTAAAAATGAAAATTGTAGCCTATAATCCCAGCGACTTGGGAGGCTGAGGCAGGAGAATCACAAGTTTGAGGCCAGCCTCAAGCACTTAGTAAGGCCCAAGGCAACTTAGTGATATTTTGTCTCAAAATAAAAATTTTTAAAAAGGGCTGAGGATGTAGCTTAGTGGTAAAGCATCCCTGGATTCAACACTGATTGATACCAAAACAAACAAACAAAAACAACAACAAACAAACAGTGGATCAGGGTTACAGTGGTAGGGCACATCTCCGGCCCTGGGTTTCATTCCCAGCACTGCAAAATTGAAATAAAATTAAAATTATATAAAATAAAAAGTGCCCAGCTTTTCATTAGACTTCAGATAGAAAGATACTGAGGAGATGATGAAAGCACCCAGAATATTCTCACTTGCCTTTAACCTCCCCATCATCGTTTTCTTAATTTTTTTTTCTCCTTAACCTTTTTACCTTCAGTTCTGTTATATTTTTTGCTGAAGTGGGGAAACCCAAAAACCACATATGGCCATCCAGGTGTGGCTGGTTCATGCCTTTTTAACTGTGAGAGCCAATTCCTTAAAATAAACACCTCTCTCTCTGTCTCTCTGTCTCTCTCTCTCCCTCCCTCCCTCCCTCCCTCCCTCCCCCCCTCCTTCCTCGGTGAACCCCAACAGATTCACTGTGTTCTGTGACTCACCGGCTTATAGATGGCAGTCAACACCACAGATGTGGATAATGTCTTCCCAAGAGTGTGCGTCAAGAATGAAGAGGACAATGACTTGGATGGGGCCCAAAGAAATCCATATTTAGGATCAGGAAGAAGCCTATAAACAACATTTTAAAGGAGAGGCCAGAAAGGCCAGAGCAAAACCTAGAGACCTGTGCATCACACAGACTCAGGCAAGGCCCAACCCAGGGAGAAGAATGGAAGGAGACCCATCATAAAAAGGATCTGGACTTTTCTCCTGGCTAACTTCAGACACGCGTCAACTCGCTCCATCGGCCAGCTTAATTCGCATAGCTTCTCTCTATTTTTTTGAAAGTTCACTGCCCGGGAGAATCACAAGTCGAAATCAATCTTGCTTTTTAAAAATGCTTTCTGAAGCTTTTGCAGGGAGCTGATGCGGTGCTGAACTCTCACTGCACAGATGACTTAGAAACTGGGGAGATGCGGTCTTCACGGAAGGCCTGGCCGTGACCAGGGCTGGCAGCACTGAGGGTTGCAGGACAGACAGTGGGGAAATATGGTCTTGATACTGAACCTCATGAAGTGTCCTTGCTCACGTGGCTAGCCTGATTCCAGGGGTTAGGGTTTAGCCGGGAGGTACCCCTCAAAGCTCAGGTGAGACAATGCAAGAAAGTTCAGAGGTTATAACTGGGTGATGGGAGCCTTGACCTGATCAGCGCATTGACCACCGAGAGGAATTAACCGGGTGGTGACTGTAGACAGGTAAGGCACGTCTGGAGGAGGTGGGCCCCTAGGAGCAAGGCTTTAGGGTATTTATTTTGTCCTTGTTGAGTAGAGCTCTCTCTCTCTCTCTCTCTCTCTCTCTCTCTGCTTTCTGGTACTGTGTCCTGAGCTGCTTTCCTCCTCCACACTCTTCTGCCATGATAGTCTGCCTCACCTCGGGCCCCAAAGAATGGAGTCAGCCGTCTATGGACCTAGACCTCTGAAACTGGGAGCCCCGAGATAAACGGTTCCTCTTCTAATTGTTCTTGTCAAGTTTTTTGGTCTCAGCAGGGAAAAAGCTGACTAGGGAAATTTTTCTATGTACCTTCTGAGTTATGGATAGATGAAGTAGAAGAAGAAATGAAATAGTTCCGTAAGGAGAAAAACAGATCAGTCCAGAAGGTAGAACATTCAATAAGATAATGGGCCCTACACTGCAAAAAGTTAGAATCCTATAAAGAGGTATATGGGTGCAAAGAAGGCAAATTTTTTATTATGAGATTGTTCTAGACAATACAGTACAGAGTGTTTAACTGGATCCTGGTATTTACACACACACACACACAAAAAAAAAAAAAAAAACAAGTCTTGAGTTAATTGGAAAGGTATTTACACACACACACACACAAAAAAAAAACAAGTCTTGAGTTAATTGGAAAGCCTAAGTATGACTTGATATTGGAGATTCTGGGAAATTGTTACTTTTCTTGTAATATGAGAATGACCGTGTAATTGTGTCATTCTAAAGGAAAAGTTCTTTTAAAAGATGCACACAGGTTTGATGGCAAAAATGACATAATGTTTGCAATTCACATTGCAATTCTACAGGAGAAAAGGGAGACGTGTCTTATTTTATCAAGATACACAACAAAATACTTTGGGGCAAAATATGCCTACAGCTTATGTTCAAATATTTCAATGAAGCCTATGGGGCAGAAATAGACATTGCTAACATTCACCAATATCCGGGGCCCCTCTGTTTTCTGATACGCTTCTCCACATTCTGAAAGTTGCTACAGCAGCGGCCAGGCCTCAGCCTGGACATGGAGCATAAGCAGAGAAGTGAGGACCGTCAGGGACCGTCAGGGACCGTCAGGAGCCAGCTTCCCCTCCAGACTGCTCTCAGCTGAGATCACACTGAACTCTGTGGCCTATTGTGCTGCTGGTGCTACTGTCACAAGATAAAGGTCCCTGAGGGACCCTCTGGCCTCTCTCCATTTCCATTTTCTTCAGTTTGTCCCAGGGAAGAGAAGTGACCAGCGTGATGGGTCATTTGGAGCCAGCAGGACTAGCTTTGTGGCTTGCGGCTTTCCCTCACCCTCTTCGCTGGGACCTACCTATCTGCAGAAGCAAGCAGGCCTCCGTGTTCCTCGGCACCTTGAGTCTTAGGCATCAGCTCCCCTCAAAGACGAGCAGGCGAATAGTTACAGCAGCTGTTGCTGTTGTCCTATCCTCAGTCACTGAGAAAGTGGGTGATTTTCTGGAGCCTGGTATGAGCAAGATAGCAAGCCCCCGATAGTAATAAACGTAATACAGGCAAACGTGGGATAACTCAAAAACGGATGTTGGCTTCCTCCCCTTCTCCAGCCCCATTTTTCAACAGGTTGGGGTGAGGGTAGCAGAGGGCAGTGAGAAGAGAAAAAACATGGAAAGGAGGAAGCTTAAGATGTGATCAGTAGCTAGAAAGCAGGTAGCTTGGTAGGCAGGCACAATTCCTAAGTTATGTTAGATACAGAAAAGTAATTAATAAGCGGAGCCTGTTGAACACCGATAGAAAGGAAAAGAAAAACTAAGAGACACCTAAAGTTCATGACTCTAAAGAGCGGAGGCACTTAAAGCTCTAAATATTCAGTGCCCATCTCTGACACCCTCTCTGGTTCTTTCTGATTTCCTTAGATCTGGTGTCTAAGAAATGCAAATAAAACCCCTGGCTGCTCATCAGGCTGATTGACAAGCCTTAGAAGGTCCAGCCGTCCTTGCCCTATCAGGCCCAGGCATCTGCTGTGATTGGACCCCCAGCTCAAATCTTCACTCTGAGTCCAAATGATGTCACCCACAGGGACAGCTGGTGTGACAAAAAAAGAAGACAGACATACCACAGGAATGACTGCTAGTACCCCATCCATCAGCTAACTAACCCGATTTCTTTGCCACGGTGTCTCCCTGTGTGTTTTCAATTTGCTTAATAAACTGAGAGCTTGGAATGATTTAATTTGGCTGTCTGTGACCTCTGGGACTGGTTGGTTGGTGCTATCAAGTTGGTGATGCCCATGGAGAGAATCTCATATTAAGAGGAAAATGAGGCCACACTGCAGAAACACTCTCTAAAATCAAAGTCATATTTAAGAGGAAAACCTCCCACCTACAAGAAGACTGTGAAAAACTGAGCAGGAAAGGCATGGAGCCGGAGATTAAAAAACAAATCTAGGTCAAAATTCAGTGGAGGTCTAACCCAATCCATAGGGGAAAGAAAGCAAATAAAAAACCCAAAGAATAAGCAGGAGTGTACCAGCAGAGATCAGGCTAAGTCAGCAACTGCTCGACTTCAGGGAGCTCACCCTGGGGAATCTTTGTCTCCTTGCATCTCTGCCTGGAGAATATAAAGAAGAATATATTAAGGTTGACCAGTAAAACTTCTCAAAGTGTGAGAATACTACTCTGGATGTGTTAGTCGACTTTTTTGTCACTGTGACGAAATACCTGAGAAAATCAACTTAAAGGAGGAAAGATTTATTTAGGCTCGTAGTTTCAAATGTTTCCTTCCAAGGTAAGCTGGCCCCATTATTTCTGGGCTTGTGGTAAGGCACCACATCATGATGGGGAAGTCGTGGCAGAGCAAACGCTCACCTCATAGTGGCCAGGAATCAGAATGGAAGGGGCCAGGGACAAGACAAAGTCCCCAAGGACATGACCCCAGGGATCCACTCCCTTGAAACAGGTCCCTCCTCCTAAATCTGTCAGTGGATTCAACCAGGGAGGAGCTCAGAGCCTTTGGGATCCAATAGCTTCCCCAAATCCCACCTCTGAATTTTGCTGCAGTGGGGACCAAACCTTCAACCCATGAGCCTTTGAGGGCTACTCTAGGTCCAAACTATAACACCCTGTCACTCAAGTCACAAAATTGAGGAACTTATATTGGTTCAGATCTAAAGCACATGAGAAAAGAATTTAATCAAGTCCTAAGAAACATAATGGATGGACAGAGTGAATAGAACACGAAACTGCTCAGAACCCCTCTATCACCCTAGTTTTCACTTTCCAAGTGTGCCTTAGAGGTGGAATCACATGATATTTGGAGCCAGGCTTCTTTCACCCAACATAATGGCTTTGAGATGATCTGAGTGGTTGTGGGTTTCAATAGCTTGGTTCTTTCTATTGCAGAGTAGAATTTCATAGCAGAGCCAGATCACAGTCATTTTATCCATTCACTCACTGGAGGGCATTTGGGCTGTTTGCAGTTTAGGGTTTGTACAAGTAAAGCCTATGCAAGGTTCTGTGTGAAAACAACTTTTCGTTTCTCTAGGGGACTGTCGTGGTTTGGAAACGAGGTGTCCTCCTAAAGCTCCCGGGTTAATGCAGGAATTTTCAGAGGTGGAATGATCAACTTATGAGAGCTTTAACCTAATCAGTTCCTTAATCCAGTTGATGGATGAATAATTTGAATGGGAGTAACTGTAGGCAGGTGGGGCGTGGCTGAAAGGGGGAGATGAGTGGGGTGTTTCCTGGAAGGGCTTCTTTTCTCTATGGCTCCCCCCCATCGCTGCTACCTGTCTATCATGAGGTGAGCTGCTGTCCTCCACCATGCCCATCTGTCAGGATATTCTACCACATCTCAGGCCCAGAGCAATGGAGTTGGTCGACCGAGGACTGAACCTCCAAAATCATGATCCAAAACAAACTTTTCCTCCTCCAAGTTGCTCTTGTCAAGTATTTGAGTTACAGTGATACAAAGCTGACTGACGGAGGTCAAAACCCAGGAGTGGGACTGCTGGGTCGTATGGTAAGTGTGCTTAACTCTAGAAGAAACTCTCAGGCCCTTTTCCAAAGGGCCTGGCCCCCTTTGCACTGTGTGAGTTCCCGTTCCCAGCACCTCACCACCGTCTCCTAGGGCTGTCAGGGTTTGATTCTTCTCCCAGGTTGTCTCCTGACCCTGTGTGACTTTTTTCTCTCTTGGGATCTTTGGGGAATGAATGCATCATAAAAACAAAAGCAGGCCGGGAAGGTAGTTCAGCTATGGAGTTTGTGTGCTTAGCATACACAAGGCCTCGGGTTCCATCCCCAGCTTTACAAACAAGCAAAAAAAATAAAAACAAGGATTAACACTTTGTCCCTTCTTTCATATGTGCAAGAGTAAGGATAGAACGGCAAGGAAAAAAATCCATACATCCAAAATAGCAATCAAATGTTTAGGCTTCATGATCACAAGGGGTTTAAGACCAGATGTTATAAAGGAAACAAACAAAAATAATGGCTCTTCTCTGACAAGAAGACCACACAAAGGTCACTGGCACATTAGAGGGTTGGGACTATTCACCTTTCTCTTATATCTACAGGGGATTGGTTTTGTGGATCCCCAAATCTGCAGATGTTCAAGTCTCTTATATAAAGTGGCACAGTATTGGTGTATAATCTACAGATTTTCCTCAAGAGAAAAATTTAGGATTTCCAGAACTCTTTAGTTCTAGAAAGAGACAATGCCTTTGAAGTAGACTGTGTAACCCAAATTCAGAGGCTAAATGTCTGAATTGTCTTGTCAACTAGACATTCATTATGGCAAAAAATACACTCTTCTGTACGCTTTAAACCTCTAGATTACTTGCAATGCCTAATACAATGTGGATGCTATGTAAATAGTTGTCATACTGCACTATTTAGAAAACAAGGCCTAGGGGCAAAAAAGTCTTTGCGTGTTCCATAGAGATATATTTTTTCCAAACATTGCCAATCCATGGTCAGTTCAATCAGTGGATGAGGAACTCAGAGAAACAGAGATGCTGCTCTGTCTTTTAACCCCTGGGAACATCTCTACGGTGTGATCTCTCCACGGGGTTACCACAAAATCTATATTATCTTGGGTGAGGACTGTCACCACAGCTTGCCTCTGAAGACCCATGAGAGCTCTTCTCTCTGTGCTCCTGTCCCCGTTCCTTTACCTGGAAGCCTTGTGTTGGAGCACCAGGCTTGCTCATGTTTATTTGGCATCCACAAGTAGGCCTTTGGACAGTCTGAATCTAATACTCCAGCTTACACACACACACACACACACACACCTGTGCTCACAATGTATATTGGTCATTACAACAAACTGAATCAACAGTAAACTAGAAACTAGGCAGAAATACTGACCACTACAAGTGCAATGGGCTAGATTACCCTTGACCAGTCTTAGGGGAACTCAACTTTTCTCCTCCTATAAAATGAAGAGTGATATCACAGTGTGGCCAAGCACACTTGGCTTGTCCTAAAAAAGCTTGGAGGGGAAAGGATCCTTCAGGGAAGGATGTTTGAGAGGAAGCAACTGGGAATTTAAGCCCTCTCTGTTTCAGGCTCAGAAACACAGCACCCAGGGCCTGTTTATGACCCACCGATATTCCCAGGCTAATGCGTGGAAGATCCCAACTCCTTCCCTATCAATCAACCAAGAGTGGGAGAGTGCATCAAGTTTGCTGAGTTGTAAGTTTTGCAGAGAGACAAAATTGGCAGTAATTTCATGCAGTGATTCCTAAGTAATACCAAGTGGCATAACACTTTGGTCTGAAATTTGACAAGACTACAAGCTGGAAAGCTGTTGGAAATAGGGTGAAGAATTTTAACCGAAACATTACAAAATTTGAAAGAAAAATTTCTGACTGTAGTCTCATCGAAAGGAAAACATCTGCAGCTGTATAACAGGAGGTAATAGATAAATAACCCAGAGAGTATACCTACCAATTGAACAAGAACAAATTGTCTCACAGAAAATAACAAGATGGGTTTGCAAAGCCTCAGGGCCCTCAAGAGTCAATGATCAGTGAATGAACGCTTAGCACTAGACAAAAACTCTTGTCATTTGGTGCAACTATTGTATACACTATATGGATAAAATCAAAGACTCTGGACATCTGTGGATATCTTTGTAGATCATAGTTCTTTCTCCTTGGATGATCACAGTTATTTAACACATCCAAGTGGAAGATTCCAGCCTCCACTATTTGGGTTAATATCATTGACCAATCAAAACTATTTAGTCTTGCTATTCACAAACTGGGTTTTTTCTTAAAATAATAAAATCAGAAATTGAGTGTTTTAGAAGTGATCAAATATGTTTTCAATGAAAAATGATAGCAGATACCAACAGATTTTCCTCATGAGAAAAATTTAGGATTTCCAGAACTCTTTCTTTCTAGAAAGAGACAATGCCTTTGAAGTAGACTGTGTAACCCAAATTCATGAGGCTATGTCAACTAGAAATTCATTATGGCAAAAAATAAAATTAGATTATTATGTCACATCATCCTCAAATAATTCTTGATAGATTAGACATAAATGTGAAAATGAAAAAGCTTAATATATTAGAAAAATTTAGGAAAATATGTTTTAAGACCCTCAGATGAGGAAATATACAGAAAGGACACACCCGATCATAAAAAAACTATACACCTGATATCATTAATATAAAAATCCTGCTGAACTAAGATAACAGAGAGAACAGGAAAATACAGGTTAAAGAGTGAGAAAAGACATCCAAAATGCATATAATCAAAGTTCATAAAGAAATCCTACAAACCAATTGTGTTAGTCAGCTTTCCATTGCTATGACAAAATGACTGAGGAAAACAACTTAAGGGAGAAAAAACTTCTTTTGGCTCACAGATTCAGAGATTTCAGTCTACGGTTGCCTGAATCCACTGATTGTTGGCCTTTGATGAGGCAGAGAATCATGGTAGGGAGCAAGTCCTGAAGTTTGGCTGCTCACCTCCTGGTAATTGGAAAGGAGAGAGAGGAGGGTGCCGGGGACACAATACAGTTCCCAAGGACATGCCTCCAAAGACCTACTCCCTTCAACTAGGTTCCACGTCCTGCAGTTTCCATCACCTCCCAATAATCCACTCAGATGTTAATCCACTGATGAGGTTACAGTCCTCATGATCAAACCACTTTCCAAAGTCCCACCTCTGAACATTGCTGTACTGTACTGTACTGCCTTGGGGGACAATCCACATCCAAACTTTA